CCTCCTTCCACACTTGAACCGCGTAAAGAATAGCTGGTTCTATTGCCGCTTCGTAAATGAATTTTGTATTTGTGAAGTTCATGCCCCACGTCTTTGCCGTGATCCAGTTTAGCATGTTCGCTTTCTGCTCCATGCTTTTGCAAATACTGCGAATATGATTGTGCCAATTTAATTTGTCGTCGAAAAGAATGCCTAAGTAGTTGAGTTCCTGTTCCATTTTAATCTTTTTGTTATTTATAAAAATCCTTGGCGGTCTTTTCAGCCTGTTACGCTTATTTCGCCTCGTGCACACCATGCCAATTGTCTTCTCATGGTTGATCGGAAGTTTGTTTTCTTTGCTCCACGTAAAAATTTTTTCCAGCTGTTTATTCGCTATATCTTCCAGTTTGTCGACATTCTGATGCGTTACCATCAGAATGAGATCATCCGCAAAAGCCTGTATTGTGGAGTTTTGTCCCCTTGACATTAGGTTAAGCAGGTCGTCACAGACTAAGTTCCACAACCCAGGTCCGCTTCGCGAGCCCTGGGGGCAGCCACGATTTGTGGGTCTGTTGACGGTGAAGGTGTTTGCCTTGTATACAATAGATCTGTCGTTCAGATAGTCATTAACAAGGTAAAATATGTTGGCGGGGCAATTGGTTTGACGTAGACGGTTTAAAATGCTTGGCCACCATAGGTGGTCGAAAGCTTTATGGAAATCAATTTTCACCAGCATTGCGTGTTTGTTTTCATTCCAGGCGTCGTGTATTATCCTTTTTGTTCTTAATGCCGCATCAACCGTCGACTTGCCTGGTCTGAAGCCAAACTGGTTTTCATTAAGTTGGTTGGTACTGGAGAGATGCCAGTTTATACGCTCCATCATGAGACCGTCCAGTAGCTTACCCATTGTAGGCAGTAAGCTAATGGGTCTGTAGTTTTCTGGCTTGCTTGGATTGTCGATCTTGGGAATTAATTTTATGTCGGCGATCTTCCATATATTAGGGAAAAATCCTGTGGTTAGACATTCGTTCAAAATGTGCACAAAGGCGATGGGAATCTCATTAAAAGCCTCTTTTAACATTTCTACCGTGATGCCGTCGATGCCGGGTGATTTTTTGTTTGCCATAGTTTTGATTGCCCGCTCTACTTCTCTAAAGGTAAACATCTTGTCATTCTTATTATTATAGGGCTGAGATATATTCCTTCTTATGCCCTGTTGTTTCGTAGTGTCACAGTCTTGATTATCTTCTGGAAAGTGGTAATTCAATATATGTTTGATGTTTCCTTCGAGGTCAGTGTTTATATCAGCGTCACCATCTGAACAGGTGACGTCCGGAAGAAAGGTTTTCTTCTGCTTTTTCATAATCATGCTGTAGGGGATATCCCATGGGCCATTTCTGTTAGATTCAGTGCAGAAAGCTTTCCAAGATCCTGTACGGGTCTTATTGATTAACTTCTTATACTGTTTTAGGGTGTCGTTATATTTGATTTTATAATTCTTTTCCTCATCGGTGTTTTTGGCTCTTATGTATTTTTTTCTCATTCTGTTGACCTCTCTTCTTTTTCGATTCAGGGAGTCATCCCACCATTTTGTTTTCCTTGGAGGTAATTGTTTGTATTTAAGGGCCTTTGCACCCGCAATTTTCAGTGCCTCAGTGAAGAACTGAGCATAACTGTCCATATCATCGTGGGTGTTAATATTCGGGAAGTCATATCTTTGCCAGCACCGAGTAAATTCTTGTCTAAATAGTGTCCAGTTCGTTTGTTTCGCCTGAAATGAGTTTTCCTTTGCCCTTATTGCAGTATTAGGTTGTTTAATCTGGGTAAGGATGAAGCGGTGGTCACTAGCTGAAGGAATGAGAAGCGTTTCGCAATTATCGATCTCATGAGAAAGATTGTCCGTGACAAAGCATACGTCCGTCCATCCTTTAGCGAATGGGGTATAGAACGTCGGGTGCGTCGTCATATTGGTTGAGATTAAGTTGAATTCGCCCATCATTTCAGTTATAATCCTGCCCCTCTTGTCCTCTTTCTCATGAAACCATACTGGGGATTTGCCGTTTAAATCACCCATAATCATGAATCTTTGGTTTCTGATTTTTCTGAGTATGCTGGAGAGTTCCTTGACGCATTCCTCGTCGTCATCTTCCGGTGAGAAGTAAGCACTTATGATTAGGATAGGATCAGAGAGCTGGAGGATGATAGTAGTTAGCCTGTCTGTGCACAACTGTGGAATTTTTGCGATATCAATATTAGAATTGCAGCATATAATGCCGCTCTTAGGCCTAGATTTGTTGGTACCAGATATCACTCTCCACCTGCCGAACCTCACAATGCTATTGTTTATATGGTAAGGTTCTTGTATGCAGATTAGGTCAATATTCATCTCATTAGCCGTTTGGATCAAGTTAGAGCATGCCGCCTTGCTTCGCTGCGTGTTGATTTGGAGTATATTAAAGGAGTGGTTGTACTGTTTCTGTTGCTGGGTTGAGTTGTGTCTCTGAGTATTTGTCTGTAGGTTGTTATAATCCATAATCGGTTCTCTTTATAGCCGCTTCTTTTAATCTTTTAGTGATTGGGCACATAGGATGAAGTGCTCCGTGGTTTGTCGGCTGTTTCTTACTGTTTGGTGCATCTTTGTTATTTCTGTGACAGTTAACACAGCAAGGCGGCTCTTTGAGTCTGTCACACTCTGAATATTTGTGGTTCTCACCACAGTGCGAGCAGTGTTGTTCCTGGTCACAATCTTTGGCTATATGTCCGGTGCCACAGCATCGGTAGCACCTTGTTATAGGGATGTAATCATCCACTTTTATGGTGGCCCAATTTATCGAAATATGCTTCTCTTTAATGAAGGTGTTGCGTATTTGTGGTGCCACTGATAAGACAACATGCCTACAGTTTTCTGTCCGTCTCCCCCTATTCAGTATTGTACTGATCGTACACTGGTTTCTAAAAGTTTCTTCTTTTAAATCTCCCCATATGTCGTTTTGTTTATATATATATGTAGGTATGTCATCTTCTTGGATGGATTGAGGTACGTTCAATAAAATCACTCTCGGTTTTTTCCCTTCGGATCGTTTACAATTAATCTTCTCATCAAGTTCTTTAATTTCTTTGATTGCTTTTTCGAGCGATATGCTCTGGTCTCTGTCCCCTACTCTAATGCAAACACCATTGTCTTTTACTTTCCTGACCGTTTTGATTTTAATCTTCAGTTTGTGCGGTTCGATTTTACTTTTCAATACCTCTGTCACCTTGTCCATGTTAATTTGTTCCTCCTCTCCAGTCTGATCTTTGGGGTAAATAAGCACGGCATGTGAGCCTCCAGTTCCTTCCTGATTCAATTTTTGATCTAAGGATTTCTGAATGTTTCTAGTTGTGTTACTCGGTTTGATGGTTCTTTTTAATATGTCGCTGTAAGTAGTATTCTGAGTAGTTTGTAGTGGTGCTTGTTGAGATTTGTTGTTTTCTACCCTTGCCATTTGTCTTCTAGTCTCTTTGACTATGGCGAACATCTCGTGTAGATAACCAAACATGTTTGCCACGCATTCCCTTATCTTACATCTCTCTTTTTGTTTCACATTGGTGTTGGTGTGCTCAGGGCACAACTCCATCACCGTGCTAAGCATATCTTTAGCCTCACTTAGTAATGTTGTTTCTATTTCCTCCGTGAATTGTTCCGTTTCTTGGTCCGTAGTTTGATCCTCCTCCTCGTCCATGTACACAATTGGGGTACGTGTGCCCCTCGTTTGGAGTTTGGAATCGTCCATGGTTAAGCACAATAGTACAGATAATGTTAACACAAGATATAAAAATACCGTACAAGTTTTATACAGTAAAAAACTATATAATTTTAATGACGAAAAATAATATAAAATTAATGGCTAATTACTATACTAGAATAATCGTTAGATTTTTACAATTCTATCGATATAATACACAATGTAACAGGAGTAACGAGTCCCGACAAAAAAGACCGAAAACTTCCGAATTAGGTTCAGTTGGGGATCTGACCCGACCACGTGGCGAGGTCAACGACCTTTGACACCTTTGTTCACAAGAAATTTAAAAATGTTCATATCTTAAAAACTAATTGACGTAAAAGCTCGAAATTTTTCACACACGTAGGGAATAGTCGGAACAAAGAAACACCCGAATATGATTAGCCCCGAATATGATTAGCCCTGGTGGCCCGATAAGCAAAACGTTGTGGTCGCAATAAAATAAAAACGGTAAGTCCGATTTCAATACCGTAAACGGCGGAGAAATCAGCACGAAATCCTCTATCGAACGATATATAAATCAGTCACTCACCGGTAAAATTCGCCTAAAAATGGCGACCGGAAAACATGAAAGTTCCGCAGCCCGTAACTTTCCGCTCGTAAGTCCGATCCTCACAAACTTGACGTTGTTAGATAGCTTACGTTGAGACGAATCCAATAATATATAATAATCCTCGGATTGGATAATATTGACTTCGATGCGGCGATCCAAAGCGGAGCTCGATACACACACAGCCTAACTGGTTCGCGACTCGACGCCCTCTCCCTTGCTATAGACATCCAGTAAAAAGAAGTAGAAGGGCTGTCCGCATTGAGCAGCAGACTCAAGCCCTTGTGGAAGTAGGAAGGAAGGGATTAGGAAAGTATGAAGGAGTAGCTGGAAGAAGAAATTAGTGTGATAGGAAAGTGGGAAAGAGAGTGCAACCAGGGGGCCCCCCATGGGACCCCACGGGCGCCCGCATTGGGTTCAATTTATTAACAGAATAACATATGTACATACAGGCCAAAAGAACAACACAGCCAAAACAATTTTGCCCGATACATTAAAACATTACAAATACTGTTATAACATTTCAACAACAAAATGGTGGAAATTCAGATTAAACTATTTACAACTATTTACAATTGTCGCGTGAAGATGAATGGAGATACCACTTGTATCTCCACAAAAACAGAGTAAACCCATAAAAGTAAGAAAACTGGTATGGCAAAACTTATGCCAACCAAATGATATCCCTATGGATAATCATTACTATCTTCACTTCCACTGCTGATATCACTTCCACTGTTATTCTTATCACTATTTTCATCTTCTTCCTCTATATCACTGTTTATTAGTTCTTGATCATTGTTTATTTGGATTCTGTGGTAGTCCGGCAACAGTGCTCCAGTCTTGTGAATAAATCGTTCCATACTTTCCCAAACATCTTTATTGTTAAAAATACTTCTATGATCCGGTTTCCAACCTAAGCCCTGCTGGTAGCACTCCCTATAGAATTGATGTCTATGCTGGTCAAAGATGCAACAGTCAAAAAGGAGATGGTCCGCATTACCTTCACTGTTAACGTCGCAGTCACAGAACTTTTTATTAGTCTTTTTAAACCTGTATAAGTATGCCTGAAAATTGCCATGATTCGTAAGAATCTGCGTAGTCTCATGACATATCTTGTAATGTTTATTTTTAATCCTTTCATTTATGGAGGGAATGAATTTATAGCAATGTCGACCTGTGTCAGAAGATTCCCAATCTCTTTGCCAACTATTGATTTCCCATCCTCTCATTAATTTCTTTACCTCTGCCCTTGGCATCCTCTTGTATGTTATTTTGCTATTGGCTGAACCTGCCCTCTTGGCCAATAGGTCAGCCATTTCATTTCCTCTTTCACCCTTATGCGCTGGTATCCAAATAAAATACAAGCTGTTAGTTTTCGTAATTTTGTGTGCTTCTCTAATCATTTCTGTAGCCAACAAAGATATATTCTTCTCTTTCTTCAATGTATGTAAGGCTGCTCTGCTATCGATATAAAGTTTAATTCCTCCTTTATATTTATCCAAGTTATTGTTGATGTGATGTAGTGCCTTAAATATAGCCCAGTATTCAGCCTGGGTATTGGAACAGAAATTCGCCATTTTGAGGCAAGCTTGATAATCTGTTTTTCCTGTTTTAACATTTTCAATGTATATCCCCGCTCCAACACCATCATTTGTTCTAGATCCATCCGTGTAAATGATCCAATGGATTCCCTTTTTGTTCTCCTTTTCATAGTCAAAACTTACTTCGTATTTATTATAGTCTGCTGGATGGATCCCCAGGCTGAAGCAATTATCATTCTTGTCTATTTCAGTCTCTATTATGCTTTTTGGAATCTCATCAATATTTACAGGAATAATTTTGTTAGTAATGCCTTTTTTAATTTGCTCAGGTGTTTTTTCCCATAGGTTTAAGTTGAAAATCAACCACTGCCATGCTTTAGATCTTGCCGTTGTATAAATCGGTGTCATGCCTGCCAACACCAACAGAGCATCTGTTGGCGCCGTCCTGTAAGCCATTGTGATCTTAATTGCAGCTTGCCTCTGCACTGATAGTAGTTTCCTTCGTATATGAACATTTCCTAAAGCCTCCTGCCAGACTGGGACAGCATACAAAACTGCAGGCTCAACTGCTGTTTTATATATTAGCTTACAGTTTCTAGGATTTATACCCCAGTACTTGCCCATTATCCAGTTTATTTGGTTGATACGCTGTTTGGTTTTTGCAGTCACTTCGTTTACGTGGTGATGCCAGCTGATGTTTGGGTCAAGGTGCACACCTAAGTATTTAAGAGTTTTAACCTGTTTAACTCTATTATTGTTAATTCTTAACTTAAGTGTTTTTTGCAATTGACCTCTTTTGTTTTTTCGTGTGCAGACAAGTGCCTGACACTTGTTATAGTTAATAGGCAATCCATGATCCTTGCTCCACTGGAAGATTTCTTCCAGTAAATTGTTTGCCATATCCGTTAACCGGTCACAATTTTTGTTTGACACCATGACCATCAGGTCATCCGCAAATGCCTGCACTGTAATGTTGTCTCTTCCGTCGAGTTTATCTAGTAACTTGTCAAAAACCAGGTTCCACAGACTGGGTCCGCTACGCGAACCCTGTGGACAGCCTTTATTGACCTCCTTTCTGATGGTTATATTATTAGAGCTGTAGACAATGTACCTATCAGTTAAATAGCTTTTGAGCAATTCAATCTCACAAGTGGTATGTTGTAGTTCTTTTAATGTGCTTTTTATATCACTCCATCTCAAGTTGTCAAAAGCTTTGCCAAAATCAATTGCTATTAACAGCGCGTGACTTTTCATATCCCAGGCCTTGTAAACAAACTCCTTTACACTTAAGATGGCGTCAATAGTTGATTTGTTTATGCGGAAACCAAATTGGTTCCTGTTCATTTTGCCATAGCTGTGGAGCTCCCAGTTTATTCTTTTAATCAGCAGATAGTCTAGAGCTTTCCCCATTGTAGGTAAAAGGCTAATTGGCCTATAATCCGATGCAGACAATGGTTTATCTTTTTTGGGAATTAGCTTTATGTCAGCTGTTTTCCAGGCTGAAGGAAAGTATTCCTTCCTTAGGCACTCATTAAATAAAATAACAAAGACTGTGGGTATCTCATCGAATGCATTTTTAACCATCTCCGCTGTAATGTTATCCAGGCCTGGAGCCTTTTTGTTTCCCATAGTGTATATTGCCTGTTTTACTTCTTTATAGGTGAAGAGAGTGATGTTTTTCTCCCTGTTTTCCTTATTCCCACTATTCGTTTGATGGTTAGTTATTTCTGTCTCCACTGTTGAATGCTCTAGGGGGAAATGATAATCAATCAGTTTTCTTAAATTATCCTCAATGTCTATTTCCTTATCATTTGTCGGCTCCTCGTCCCAATTAAGAATCTCAGGTAATTTAAGTCTTTTCCTTTTTTTGAATGCAATATTATACGGGAGCTCCCATGGCCCTTTGGCATTGCATTCGGTGCAAAATTCACGCCAAGCCTTGGAACGGGCCTTGTTAATGTTTTTCTTGTATTTTTTTATCTCAATCCTGTAAATATTTTTTAGTTTCCTTTTTCCTTCCTCATTGTTTGTTCGTTGGTATTTTTTCCTTATTTTATTTATTCCTTTCTTTTGTTTTTCCAAACTCTCGCTCCACCAGTGTGTTTTCCTAGTATGGTTGCTAGTCACCATTTTACCCGCCTTCCTACTAGCCATCTGTATATCTTTTGTTAAATATTCCACGTATCGATCAATATCCTGTCTATTGTTGATGTACGGGTAATCATGTTGTATCCAGTAATCATTGAATAGCCGTTTGAATAATTCCCAGTTTATATGTTTATTATATATATTCTGCTTTAGGCTACCATTTTCCATATTACCAATTTGGGTACTTATAATTCTATGGTCACTTGCTGTTATTGTCAGTAGCGTCTCACAGTTCTTAATGTTCTGAGCCAATTCACTTGTCATAAGACAGACATCCGTCCATCCCCTCGCCTGTGCTGTGAAGAAAGTCGGATGGTCAGACATATTAACTGAGATAAGATCGTATTCTTCCATAAGGTCCACAATCATTCTTCCCCTCTGGTCTTCCTGGTCATTGTACCACACAGGCGATTTCGCGTTTATGTCTCCTGCCACTATTATATTGCTCGATTTAATCCTCTTTAGTACCTTTGCAATTTCCTCCACTCCCTTCTCATCATCCATGTACGGCGAAATATATACATTGAGTAGGAAAACTTTGATATTAGTCTGTATAATAGCCGTGGTAATAATATTTGTAGATAATTCAGGAATCAGCGCTATATCTATATTTTTGTTCCTGACCCCAATACAGGTTTTGGGGGTTTTGTCCGTAGGCTTGTACAATAGTAGCCAACTTCCCGGTCCAATTATTTCCTTATTTATATTATATGGTTCCTGAATCAAAACCAAATCTGTCTTAAGCTCATTAGCCTTGTGGACCAGAAGAGAACTTGGAGCTTTACCCCTTTGCTTATTTAATTGAATAATGTTAAGTGTGTCCTCCTCTATAATATCACTATCACTATTGTTGTTATTTTGCTGAGTATATCTTTTTTTAATACTCTGATTTGGAATGTCCATAGTCTTACTGTCCATAATCAATTGTTTTGATTATTTGTTTCCTAATTCTATTATATAGAGGACAATCTTTATAAAAAGCATTATGGTTTGTAGCCAATTTTCTATCTGATGGTAATCCTATATTATGTTTTATACAATTAATACATGAGGGAATTGTTTGCTTAAAATTACATTCTCTATATCTATGCTGCTTTGAGCAATGGCTACACTGAAGCTTACCTTCGCATTCACGGGCCCAGTGTCCAAAACCGCAGCACTGGAAACAGCGCTGCACAGGGATAAAGTCATCCACCTTTACCGTATACCATGATAATGCTATGAACCTTTGTTTCATTAAAATTTTCCTTATTACTGATGTTACAGTTAATACTATGTGCCTTCCTTTGTCCTCTGCTTTCTTGTTTTTAATTATTGTTGTTATCCTACAGCCTTTTTTAACCTCCTCTTCTTCCAATCCTTTCCATATATTATTCTGTCCTACCAATGTTTCAATTACTTCCTCGTCCGTTATATCATGCGGCACATTTAATAAGATGATCTTCGGCTGACGCTTTCCTGACACCCTGCATTTAATATTATCTTCCAGCTCTCTAATTTCTTCTATAGCACCTTTAAGTCTTTCCCCTTCCTCATTATTATTCACTGTAATACAAACACCATTACCTCTTATTTTCCTAATTCCTTTCACTTTTACCTTTATTTGTTTGGGTTGTACATTTTCTTTAATTTTTGTGATTATTTCCTCCATATTAGTTATTTCTCCTTGCTCGTTCTTTGGATAAATCAATACAGCACTTCCTCCATCTTCTTGCCTACTGTTGATGATATCCTTTGTGTTTTGGCTTTGTTTCTGGTGTACAATTAAATTCGATCTAGTAACATCTGCATAACTCATTTGGCTGGAATTATGGTTTGTTTGCTGTACTGTAGTTTTGATTTCTTTAATTGTTTCAACCAAGTCTGGTGTTAATGTATTCTGTTCTTCCCTTTCCGATCTCCAATCTGTTAGGATCCCATACATCTGCTGTACCGCTGAATATAGCTGAACAACCTTTTCCTTGACCACTTTCCTGTCCTCGCTCCTTATGTTAGTTTTGTATGGCTCGGGGAGTAGGTCCAGTATAATCTTCATTTGGATTCTAGCATCCTTCAAAATTCTCCCTTCCACTGTGTTACTGATAGTATTGTTGCAAGTATTTGTAATATTTTCCACTTCTCCTCCTTGGGTAGCCGTTTGACTTTGTTCCATTCCTTGTTCTAGTTCCTCCATACTGATGTTGAACACTACTCCAAGCAGGTGATGCTTAATTATAATTAATCAACTTAAAACTAGAAGATTATGTATTGTGGAAAGGTTGGCACAGTGCCCAGCAAACTGTAGTGGTGAGTTATGCACTCAGCAATACAGTCAGAAAAGATAGAAAATTAATCCTATAACTATAATTAAACTATAATTAACTTAATGTCTATACAACCAAAAAGTACAAAAATTAAATACACCAGCTTAGGTATAAAGCAGAAAATCTTAAAGTCAAAAATAAAAGTCTAATTGCAAATTTCGTCCTTCAAAATAGTGAAGAATTGTCGATTTAAGTCCGTCACGCCGATCGGCTACGCCGAATGGCTAATGCACGCCACGCCGACTGATTATGACGTTGATATCCGTTACGAAAGCCGTTGAGTTCGTTGACCTCGTCAAGTGGTAAACTTCTAAAATTTTAAAACTTGCCGCCATTTAAATTCTATGGGTCCCAGAAAGTTAAAATTTGGTAAGAATGTAGAACTTGGTCTCCTCTTCCAGATGATATGAAAATTTTTCCCGGGAAACCAAAACTCGGCCCGATGCGGCCCGCCAAGTCCGAAACACAAAAGTACAAAATAATCGTAACTAAGGGTCGTAGGTCAACCAAATTTTAGGGTGTTACTCACTTTGTTAATGTCCACAAGGCTGTATATTCCATTCCGGAAAAACGGACAAACTTGTCCGGAAAATCGATGCCGAAAATCACCAAACTTTCGACGCTCGTCCCCAAAAAACGGGAGGGCCAATCTTCGAAAACTCGACGGTGTTCGATTCCCCTTGTTATACTGAATCCAACGATACCTCAATCACCTTCCTAGATGCACCACAACATAAAATATCACCACTTAAACCAGGAGCTGATGTTAGCACAACTTTACCACATCGCGACTATACGCCCTCTCCCTTGCTATAGACATGTTTAAAAAGAGAAGAAGAGTTGTCCGTCTTCTTAGCGACGGACTTTACTCTGTGGAAGTAGGAAAGAAGAAAAAGCATGAGATTTGAAGTGTGAAAGGAAAGGGAGATAGGAAAGGCAGGAAAGAAGGCATGGGACCCAGAGAGCGCCTCGCACCGGGCATTTATTGAACCAACAATATTTACAAAAAGGAATACCAGATACAACTGGTCAGAACAATAAAATACATTAAAGGTCCCGACAATTCATCCTTACAGTACACTAATACAGTGAACAGTAGAAAACATAGTAAAGTAATTAACAAAAGGGGCTTCTTGCCCTAGGTTCATCTCGACCCTAACAGTAATGATGATACGTAATGAATAACAAAAGGCTTCCTGCCCTAGGTCAGCTCGACCCTAACAGAGTGTGATGAAAAGTGGGATTCCACTACGTATAAACCATAATATTATAACTGGTACAGCGAACAACACCTAGTGAAGTTAATAGCAAAACAAAAGGGCATCTTGCCCTAGGGTAAGCCCGATCCAAACAGTGAACGACTGTGAAAAAGATCCCACGATGTCCACAAAGTCCCACAGCCAACCCTGCCCCTTGCTGATGCCGCAGCCAGGTGCTAGACTTGTGGGCACCGACGGCATCGGGGCTCAAACCCAATTAAGATGGTAAGGGCTGGCCGTGGTACACAAAGAGGCTACCCCCGTTGTCTTCCGTAATAATTATGTTACTCGTTGCTAATCACTGACTTCCTCTCCATCTTCACTTTCTAATGTCGAATCTCCCTCTTCATTTTCCTCTTCGTTGTCATGTGTTCCTTCCTCCCAATGACTTATGTTGCTTTGTGTATCTCGCTGCGTTTGAAGTAGGGTTTTAGTGTCCTGTATATATTTTTTAAAGGCCATGAAAAGTGTTTTATCTTTCACAATCTGCGAATACTTTGGAGGCCAATTGTACCCCGCTTTTAAGCAATTGTGTAGAAATCCCTCTCTTTCTGCATTATATTTTGTACAATCAAATAAATAGTGGTGCACACTATCTTCCTGTTCGACATCCACGTCGCAATTCTTATTATCAATTATTTTGAATCTATACAGATATGACCCATAGTTCCCATGTGCGGTCAGACACTGGGTGACACCAAACGTTGTCTTGAAGTTTTCAAGAAGCCATACAATATTTTGCAGAATTCGTACATTTGATCCCCAGTAACTTCCTAATAAATCTAAAAGTAAAGGCCATTACTTGAAGCCAAACAGAACAACTTAAGTTTGAGCTGAGATGACTGACACTTGCAGCCAAGACATGAAGATCACCAATTGTGAAATCATGAAGACGGGGACAGTTGAATATTCTATGATTGCTGTTGCAAATCCACAATCCATCTCGGATTAATATCTAGTAAGGTTCCGCATTTCCAATATGTAACATGGGCAATTTTTCTCCATTGCGTTGTGGTTTAGCTCTTTGCGTCCAGCCCGCAAACAATTTACACACTGTGGTACTGTTGTTTTTTCACACTCTTTGAAAATGTGCGGTTTTCCGCAATGGCTGCACACTACTTCTTTAGCTTCGCACTGCTTTGCCAGATGGCCGAAAGCCAAACACTTATAACATCTCTTAATTCTAATGTAGTCGTAAACCGTACATCTGCTCCAACCTAAGTAAAGTTTCTCTTCTTTCATCATCATTTCTCTCATCATTTCAGACACCTCTAATATCCATGTAACATAGTTCCCCTCTTTATGTGGGATGCGGAACTTGACAGTGATCTCGTCTGCCGTTGACTGTTCAGATAAGTTCAACCCAAAACAGTCATTTTGTTCATAAAGCATATGTACAATATCTTTCCCCTGTATATCTTTCGGGACTGATACCAGCTTTATTAATGGAAGTTTTTTGGTACTCTTAATTAATTTCAATTCTTTATTTTTTTGTAATGCTCTAGTCAAAATTTCCATTGATTCCGTACAGTTAAGGCTGATCGCAATTCCTCCCTTGTTAATATTTCTAATATTTTTAACTCCCAGGTGCATTTTGACTGGATCGATATTTTTAAGCGCTATTTCTCTTGTCTTATCCGAGCTATTTCCTTCCTTTGAGCTGTACACCAGCACCGTATATTGCGGAGTCGGTGTCTGTAATTGCACTTTTGGTTCCCCTTTCCCCAATTTCAACACTTCACTATACGATTTTATTTTATCGCTTCGTATATTTTGATTGATTGGAAGCTGCTCGTTTAACGCACTGATTTCTCCTTTAACACCTGAGATTGCTTCTAGTGTGACGTTTACATTTCTTTCTACAAGTCGCGTAATCTCTGTTTGTAAATTTTTATTTTTCTCCTTATCCTGTGTGTTATACTCTATATTTTCTTTTATTTTATTTATTTCATTTTTAATCTCTTTAATTTCATTTATTGTTCTTTCTGTTTGTTTTCCTATTAATTCAGCTATTTCTTCCTTAGTAATCGTTGGTGACTTTCCCCCCCTATTTCATCTAGTTTGAAGTTTTCTCTCATTGTCTTTTCAGCAAGTTGAATTATTTTTGCCATTTGGTCAATCATAAAGTTTTTGTGTTCCCTTGTGGATAATTTCCCCCCGGGATTCTCTTTTATATGTTGTTTTACCTCTTCAACCATATCAAATGCTTGATCAGAAAATTCCTCAATGATTTTTTCTATTATTTCTGTCATTTTAACTTCTTTAGCGCTTAATTTAAGTTAAAACTAATTAAACTCTAAATAAAACTAATTTAGACCAATTAAATCCAATAAATCCGTTA